TATGTGTGTGTGTGAAGAGAGAGAGAGAGAGAGAGAGAGAGAGAGAGAGAGAGAGAGAATGAGAGAGAGAGAGGAGACACAACGAGAGAGAGAGAGAGAGAGTGAGAGTTAGAGAAAGTGTGTGTGTGTCTATGTATGTATGTATGTATGCATGTGTGTGTGTGTGTGTGTATGTGTGTGTGTGTGTGTGTGTGTGCGTGTGTGTGTGTGAATGTGTGTATGTGTGTGAGAGAGAAATAGAGAGAGAGAAAGAGAGACAGAGATAGAGAGAGAGAGAGAGAGAGACAGGGGTTGGGGAGACATAGACAACAAAGAGACAATAAGAGACAGAGGGAGAGACACAGGGAGAGAGAGGGAGGGAGAGAGAGAGAGAGAGAGAGAGAGAGAGAGAGAGAGAGAGAGAGAAAGAGAGGACGAGAGATGGGGGAATCAAACACAGACAAATGGGCAAACAAACGTACTGACCTGCGGGTTGTACACCGTAAACTCCACAAACACTGTCCTGGTGTATCGGTCTACCCACTTCTCTCTCTCCAGGCGGCTCACAGTCTCCAGCACAGCCGCCTTGGAGCCGTTCAGATGTGCAACGTACCCACCACCTGCAAAGGCACCATATACCGATATTTTCGTTTTATCTTTTACCCCAATCAAAATGAAAGTGGATCATTGGTCAGTAGTTAAGGAAAAAAGAAGAACACCTTGCGGTCAAATCAGATATTTAAACAATACAAAAACTATCATGTGAATATTATATCTAAGCATAGAATTATGAGGGTGCATTGCTTGGCCATTTAAAGGTTTATATTTGCTATACACAGGCTGGGAAATAATTTAAGTTCCTCTAATCCACTAAAAAAAAAGACCGTATTTTTAAAAAAAATTGTTATTTTATTTTATTCTATATTTCATTACATATTATGTCCCCCACCCCCACCCCGCCCACCTTTTTTATTTGGGCGGGGGGGGGGGGGGGGGGTTGGTTGCAAAGATGTAATATTATGGAGCAGGTTGTAGTTATACCCAGATCATATCACACCGGCTAAAGTGCAATCTGAATATTTGGAATTGCGTAACTCAAAAGTAGAGAGAAGATCAGCAGTTCCGCAATCAAATTTGTCATGATGCTTTGGTACCTTTGCATTTTCGTACAAGGCACCAGAAGAGGGTTTGGGGGGGGGGGGGGGGGTATTCTATCTGAACCTGAAAAGAAAGGAATACAATTTTTTTTTAAAACAACCAAAGCTTTTAACAGAAGTCAAGAATGCACAGCTATTAATTTAAGAAATATCACCACAAAAAAAAGCTTTTAAGTTACAAATAGCTTTAGAAAATTCAAATGCACATACCAGAATATACCCCGAGGAGCCCCCAATAAGGGTATCCATTCAAGGTTTCGGCAGACGTCCACTCGTACTCAGACCGGTTCGAAGGGTTCTCCTTGCTGGCTGGTGAGCGTTCCCATCCCACCTCAAAGTTTCTGTCTTCCTGGTTGGCAAGTGAATACAGCGTGTTGCATTGTGGGATCATGGTCTTGAAGTAGCTGGGCACCTGACAACCACCTGCAACCAAAGCAGTGATGATTATTATTCTCTGAAAGGTCTACATGCGAAGCACGAATATGTTTTGAGGAGTTCGGTTGAAAGCACAGAATTCTACACTTATAGAAGCGGAACTCCCTCTTCGCGATCGCCGATTCGCTGTGAGGAATTGAAACTAAAACATGGCGGCCAGTTGAGGGCACATTTGACTGCGCCACACAGCGAGGCTTCGCGTTGCTATGCACGCTGATGCTAGTGGTAGGGCTTGGAAGACACCTTACATCAGTATTTTAAAACTTTCTTCGAAGAGGAAATATAGTGAAATAGTCTAGTACATTTTTATTGCCAACAATATGTCATAATTGGCAATGTTACAATATTTTTGTATTTGTATTGTTGGTTTTTTGTTTTTTTTAAAGGATGGGATGGGATCTAGATCTAGAATCTAGATAGATCTAGATCTCTAGAAAGAGATAATTAAATTTGAACTTATATTGAGGAAATGTATTATTTCTCACTTTAAGAATATCATCTCTGTGTTTGCATCAGTAGTGTGTACAACAACATGCTTTGTTTAAAGCACGTGCGAGTCTAACAAATACAAGAGATTGGAGAATGTGTCGGTTGCACATAAAATACATAGGCCTATTGTACATGCTGCCAAAAACACAAAAATACAGAAAAGGCCTCAAAATATTGGTTTACACATAAAAGCCAATAATGCAAAACAAAGTAAACAAGAGTGGAACTGGCATGTTTCCTGAATATATGTTCAAAGTCATTTTCTGTGTGTTGGGAGTGTGATTTCTAATGCATGAATGATAGGCTCATTCAGATATGATAATGAAGAAACTTGTGTCTACAGTCACAACAGAAAGAGTTCCATGGCGAGTGATCATTGGTCAAGGATTTCAGAGCTGTGTGCATTTTGAGAAAAATGTATCCCCATACCCTGGATCATGTTGAGGTGATGGGCTTGTCCCCATGTAATCCCCGCACACAGTAAACAAACACATATTTTTTAACACGAACAAGAAAAAATAAGTGGTCTCTTGTTACGGATCAAATTGAAGTCCTGTTTCAATTCGATTAATTGATAAAAGTGCGTATCGCAATGCGTTGGCCACCCCTGCCCTATAGGCCTATGCTATTTAATAAATACATTCGTCAGACATGGAATCTTTAATGCCCGCACACAGTAAACAAACACACATTTTTGAACACGTATAAGAAAAATTAAGTGTTGTCTTGTTACGGATCAAATCGAATTCCTGTTACAATTCAATTAATTGATAAAAACGTGTATCGCAAGGCATCGGCTAACCCAGCACTATTACGCTATTTTATAAATACCTTCGTCAGATCTGGAATTTTTAATCTTTAATTTTTAATCCCCGCACACAGTAAACAAACACACATTTTTGAACACGAATAAGACAAAATAAGTGTTGTCTTGTTACGGATCAAATCAAAGTCCTGTTACAATTCAATTAATTGATAAAAAAGTGTATCGCAAGGCATCGGCTAACCCAGCACTATTACGCTATTTTATAAATACATTCGTCAGATCTGGAATTTTTAATCTTTAATTTTTAATCCCCGCACATAGTAAATAAACACACATTTTTGAGCACGTATAAGAAAAAATAAGTGTTGTCTTGTTACGGATGAAATCGAAGTCCTGTTACAATTCAATTAATTGATAATAGCGCGCATTGCAATGCATTGACTAACTCAGCATTATACGCTATTTAATAATACATTCGTCAGATTTGGAATCTTAAATTATAATCATAATTATATGTGCCCGCGCGTGGGAAGTGAAAGTGAGAGGAATTGAAAATGCTTTCAAAAACAATTATGAAAGTAACATAATTAAAGTAGATCTAGGACTACATGTGCTTATAAAGTCCCAAAAAGGTATATGGATGCGGGAATTAATGTTTCAGATGAAAATAATACGCTATCTCTACTACTGTAGCGTGCGGTCAAAAATTTGATGCGCAACTGATTATCAAATATCTAGCTACTGAACTATCGAACACCTAGATCTAGATCTAGATTCTCCTACTTTTACACAATGACTTAGATCTATATTCAATTCGTCTTAACCGATGAGTATTTTTTTCCAAACATTTGTACGCATCTATAGGTTCTATATTATTCTAGAAATTTCTTTTAAGAAAATTCTTTAATAAATACTACCCCAATATAAAAAAAAAAAAAATCCCAGTCAATGGTTTCTACAGATTTTTAAAAAGTTTATAGCTGGAGCTCAATCTCTTTTAAAAGCAAGTCCGTCCTTTTTTCTACTTTTGCTGGCGACATAAAGCTAATTATTGAACGCATGTTTTGAGAACATTAATTAGATCTAGATCTAGTGAAAAAAACATGTTCAGTGTAAAACAAATTTCTTGTAACAACGTAGGCCATATGCGTATGCAAAATGTGTGTGGGAAGCTAGATCTAGAAGTGCTGTGAACAATCCCATCCGTGTTACGAATTTTTTCACAGTAGTTCTGTACTGTAGATCTTATATTTATAAACTCTCTATGTCTGCTTTTTCTGTTGTTGCACCCAAAAACACAACAATTTAAAACCATGATTCCAATCTCTAGTTGCACAGTGAATTCTGAAACTCAAAATTACAAACTGGACAGTAAATGTTCCACTTTTCACTCGTTTGTAAAAGCCGCTCTTGCTTTAAAAGCTATAGGGTTACTTCCGAAAACGATAAATGCCCTCAAGACGCCATTGTTTTCGGTCTTCAATTCCTCACAGGTCACGTGGTACAGTTCCCGTTCTATAAGTGTAGAATTCTGTGGTTGAAAGATAAGAATAATGAGGGACCCTATTCTTTTTCTCTTATTGTTGTTTTATTTTATTTCATTTTTTTTTAACTTTGTGAAGACGATTTTGAAAACTGAAAACTAATATGCAGTCAAGAGACACCTCTCTTCCTGAATGTAAGAAGCTATGAGGGTTCCTACGGAACAACAATCAAAATGCTTCTGCTGCTGCTGGTGGTTCTGCTTAATGCTTCTGTGCTGTTGCTGCTGCTGCTGCTGCTGCTGCTGATGATGATGATGATGATGATGATGATGATGATGATGATGATGATGATGATGATGATGAAAGATTGTTAAATGGTCAGGGGCCTGTACGACTTACCTGGCAAGATGCGATGTTGACGCATCACAGCATGGCCCAAGATTCGAGACGCCTTGTCGTTAATGTAGGCCCTCAGCCTCAGAGGAGGGTAGTTGTTGTAGTATGAGCCAGCTAGGAGGCCGTTGATGAGGCCGGTCTTGGCCCACTCCCAGAACTCATCAGTGTTTTGGATCTGAGAGACGAAGTATGTAAGAAAAAGTAGGTTGATGGCAAAGCGTGGTCACATCAGTGTGGTCAACAGTGACTATGGATTGCTGGATGAATGGATGGATGGATGGATGGATGGATGATGGATGGATAGATGGATGGATAGATGGGTGGATGGGTGGATGGGTGGATGTGTGGATGGGTAGATGGATGGATGGATGGATGGATGGATGGATGGATGGATGGATGGATGGATGGATGGATGGATGGATGGATGGATGGATGGAATGACAAAGGCAAGATTCTGGGCTCATGCCAACGTGGTGTCAAGTATCGTATGTTAAGATATGGTGTGGGAATAGAATACCCTCTTACAATATCAGCTGCTGAGGTAATAATAGTTGTAGTATTATCAACAGTATGTGAAAGACAAAACCTCCGAGTATTATGTCCACCCACCAATCTGAGAGAGGAGTAGCGGAGAAAACTAGAAAACAAACCAACCCAAAACAGGTACAAAAGGTTGTACTGGATACAAAACATTCTCACACGGTAAACGAACGCATGTCTTCCGTTGGCGGCAGCAAAAAAAGGCCAAGTGTTACATAACAAAATGATAAAATGCTGCTGGTTCAATGGCAACCTGCGGCACACCACAATTCAATCAACTGTTTGGATCTTTTGCTTTTTCTTGCTTCATTATTGTTGGCTCTGACGGATTCTTCAATAAGCAAAGAACATAGCTGTTAAATGTTAGCTCATCCTAAGTAAACTCAATTAAATATTAAACCCCTTCCATCATTCTTTTTATCATCCACACTAATGAGACAACGGGGTGGACGCAACGAAATCCCAAAATACGAGTCGGAAAATACTGCAGTTGTAAAAACAAAAATGAAGGACAAATTTGTTTTAGCTTCTTATCAAACATTTAATTATGGATAACGAGTTCTAAAAGGTCTTGACAATTTAAGTGGGGAAACGGGAGTGGTGGGTGGAAACTATTCAGCGCATGGGAAGACGCGTGCGATGTTGAAATAAATTAATAGCAAGACGTGGCTAGTGGATGAAAGATTACAAAAGTGGAGAGTAAATATTGCAGTCACGCACACCCACAGCATATTTTTCCAAAGTCACGGATTTTTAAAAAAATCGCAATGCAACATCTCTTTAAATTATTTTTACCTTAATGAAACAACCGAGTGGTTACGATTCGAATAAGTGTTCTCTCAGCTTGAAGAGAGAAAGGATTCTCAAGTGTACCAACAAAAGACATCTTGACCACTGCAGCACTTATGAAGTTATTTTCATTTCTAGTCTCCATGAAGACAGTTATTCCTATACTTCCCCAAATCTCACGTCTTCTATTTACCTTCCTATCTTCGTTTGTCTGTTTGTCTGTTTCTCTCTCTTGCTCTCACTCGCATTCTTTCTCTCTCTCGTTCTTTCTCTCCCACCTACGCACACAAATATTTCTTTTTTTCAAACCCCCAAGGCTTATCCAGCCAAATACGTCACCATTTAAAAACCAGAAAGCAAATCAATGTATGACAGAAAACGCTCCCACTTTTAAAATATTCAAGCGTGTAATTTCAAGGAAAAGGGGACTCTCGTGGTCTAGGGATAAGGCTGTAGGTGCTCGCCTTTCATTCAATAGGTCCAGGGATCGAATCCGGATAGCCATGGAACATTTTTTCGGTAAAACCGTCTCCTTGCACATCCTTTCCAGAACTCTAAAAGTGTTCTGTCATCTGCTTTCGTCTCACCTCCTTTGCCCCCCCCCCCTGGGCACCTGGATCTTTCTGCAGCCTTTCTACTGTGACTCCTTGGCTCCTTATTACTGCTGTCTTTCAGCCACACTCCTGATTTTATTTTAGATAAGATCTACACCTAGCGTTCTTGGATAAGGGCCCAGTGGCGAAGCGTCTATGTAATCAAATAATCACTGCTTCCCTTCCTAATTTTAAAACATTGCCACAGTAAAATTCACCCATAGACGTAAACCTCATGAATTAAATGTAAAAAGACGCTCATAATCACCAATGAACAGTATGCCTACATTCAAAACGGTTTCTTTGCCACAAAAATAGCCTGCCCCCCCCCCCCCAAACGTGCCTCTTTATAAGCAGGCGCTAGCTTCGATTAAGTAAGCTTACAATGAGGCAGGAAGAGTCTACCAAAAGAGTTGAAGGGAACATGTGTGCAACAGTCAAAACTGTTCTATTGACACATACCCTATTTACCCCTTTCGGGCCACAGTTATAAGCAGTCACAAGCACTGATTATGTAAGCGAACTATTACTGGTTGAGTCTACCTCACAGATGTGAAGGGAACTAACTCCTAATAATATCTTGACTGCTGCGAGTGCTTGTTTTTTTCTCGACTTTTTACCGTCCTATAAACAGATCGTGATCTCGATTTTGACACCAGCTCCTGGCCGCGAAACGCTAGACAAAATCAGCCAAATGTGAAATAACAAAATAATAATTGTCATGTTCTACTAAAGAGTTTAGTCTCACTGGTAATACATACTGTAGTAGTGACATCTCTGCTTCTTTGCTTTGTGTTTGTGTATTCACACCTAAAAATAAATTTAATGTTTGTTGAAATAAATATTTAATGAAATACTTTCCTGATTTTTTTAGCGGTTGAACATGCATACAACATGAATTCAGGATTTATTGTTTTCATTCACAACCAATCGTTGCCGCCTCGAGTACGATTCTTGTATGATATCTCCAGGCCTTAGCGTACAAGAAACCATGCGTCCCGACAGCCCCCTCTGGCAGGAATCTGTGAGGCTGGGTTCTCGGGTGCCATTCGCTCGCTGCATTGTTCGCGCGAAACTCAATTACTCAATTAGGTGCAAGGCCTATTGTCTTACCTTGTGTGTCGTGTGTAGTGGGCCTATTAGTGTGCGTGTGCATGCATTTAACGCAACGCACTTGTTTCCGGTACTTGTTGCCTATTCTTGTACCGGTATTTATACAGTAAAATTTCTTCACATTGTGTTCTAACATTATACTAAGACTAAGATAGAGGTTTGTTTTGAATGTGTAGGCCTACAAGGTGAATTTCTGACGGATAAACAGTGTGTTTTAGTGTGTCTGCAAGGGCTATCATGACAAAAAAGTGTTCCATATGGATGCTCCTCAAAGTATGATAGTAAAAGAGGATCGAACAATGACGTCAGTGTGTAGTCCTTTCCTACTGACCCCAAGCAATGTAAGAAGTGGGTAGACAGCATACCAAGGCACAACTGGAAACACAGTGAAGTGACAAGGCATTTGGGCGTTTGCAGTAGATCTATACACTGACCACCCGGTGCTCCTTTGATCAGAAAATCTAGGTGTATCCATGTCCTGCTGTTCCTCCCAGTATTTTTCCTAGTGTACCCCCATCTACACTGCGTAATGTTGCTCATTCAAGAACAACACAAAACTCCACCAGTGATTTCAGAGGTCGGAGTTCAGTATGGACATTGAAGCCGCTGACTTGCCTTGCAATGCAAACATGAGCAATTTTCGAGAAAAAACTTTGTCATTTCTTAAAAATTTCAACAACATATGATGGTGTAGTTGCAACGGATGAGTATAAAATAAAGCTCACAATCCTCAGCTCTCAGCGTAAAGGATCTATACATTGTTGCTGCATCTATATGCACCTGTTTGCAAGTGAGTATGATTCAATTGAAGCTCTTCACTTCTTTACAAATTCAGTTTCAAAACTCTGTCGAGCTCGGTTGGCTACAATCATGAGACGATTTGTGGACACTTTTAACTTAGATCTCGTTTTGTCTAAGAAAACCCTCACATGCATTGCCAACATCTTCCTGAAAAGATTTGCCGTTCAGAGCAAGAGCAACAGTCAACACTGTGGATCGAGTAGGGAGGCAACGAAGCTCTCGTCCAAATCAACAAAGGCAGCACAACATTAGAGTGGATTGTAGGACCTATATATATAAACTATAAAGGCACTTTCCAATGGATGAGTGTTGCTGATTTTTAGATTAAATTAAATATTATTTTTTTATTTTCCTCGTTTAAATGTTCTTTTTTGCACAAGTTTACTACGTTTTTGATGAAAAAGTAGGCCTATCCAACAGACAAGTACTCGATATGGTACCTTTCACAGGGGGCTGCCCAGTTTGACACAATTTCATTTAAACATTTAGATCTAAGTTTTGATGACAGTCATAGTTACAGCCCTTTAACACTGTAGTCGTAACTTAAGTTTTTTTTTATTCTCCACATTCAAATTGGTATTGTAAAGAACAGTCCCTTTTTTATCAATTCAGCTTGTGTTGTTCATATTTCTTCCTTTTTGTATGCAAATGAAAGCAAATTACTCTGTAATATTTCAACAAGGAATGTTCTTTTTGTTAAAAACAGAAGAAAAATAAAATTCAATTCATACTATCAATCAATCATTCATTTACTCTTATTGAGAGTGTCAGTGATAACTTCAATCTTGCAGGGCACAGTCGAGGCGGGGTGGGCCTGTGACAAAGTGGGTCTGTGACAAACTGGCATGCTTCCCTTTACATATTATATTAATTAATATTAAGTTACTAGATCTATCTCCAGTGTATTGCCACAACAGCTTCTTTGATATCTAACTGCGCTGCAAGCCAATTATTCTGTATTCTCTTACATGTTTTCAGCAAACTAAAACATTTTTATGGTTTATCACACCAAAGTGAAACTGATGCCCAGCTCACTTAGAATTCTACAATAAGACCAGAAAGTAATGGTAACTTTCTGCTCTACAGACACTCGATCAATGTAAAAATCATGCTTGTCTTTTTCGACATACTCAGTTTGTTTTTCCTTTGGCTAGATCTATGTTTTCTCTCCGATTAATGCCAAGCAGTACTACCAAATCTCTAACTTCTATCTTCAAGTATTCCCTATATTTATGTTTTACCAGGAAACATTGTAGTCATAGGCCTATTGATAAAAAAAAATTTCGTTTTGGTCACTCCTAGATCCAAATTCAAGATCTGCATTTTTCTGTTGTTTCATGTTTCTCACCAACACCTAGAACAAGTGCGGATATATTTAAAGCCCATTCATGTTCTGCGACATTCTGAATAGTAAGGAAGGGGCAGTGTATCAAATTATTAAATGATCAGCATTTGAACTTCGACGATGATAGTTCACCCCAAGTACATGTAATTGGAGGCAATGTATCGGATGTTCTACATTAATGAGTGCTAAGCTATAAAGTTTGTGTGTGTGTGTGTGTGTGTGTGTGTGTGTGTGTGTATGTGTGTGTGTGTGTGTGTGTGTCAGGGAGAGAGAGAGAGAGAGAGAGAGAGAGAGAGAGAGAGAGAGAGAGAGAGAGAGAGAGAGAGAGAGAGAGAGAGAGAGGAGGGGGGATAGAAGGGGAGAGGGTGGGTGTGTTTCTCTACCATTTCCCTTGCGTTGCGTGCATAGCCGCATGCACACCGAGGCTACAGTCAGCCCTCCAGTTTCGCCACGCCGCTAGCGAGTACACTGCATGGTTTCTTGTACGCTAAGCTCCAGGCCCTATCCAGTCCCATCTCACTTTGATTACCCTGTCAAACAAGTCAGCCTTCGCCCCTTCGAAAGTATCTGAGGTCCCGAGTGCAAATTGCGCACGTTAAAAATCCCTTGGTGATCCAAAATCGAGAACAACAGGCTTCGGCCACCACCCGCGCAAGATTCTAAATTTCCTACGAACAGAAAATGTTTAATGTGTCCTGCGCGCTCATATGAACTTAATACATGTATGCAGTTGCGAGCGCCGTAAAACACTTACCCCCCCAAAAAAAGAATTAAAATAAAAGAAGCAGGTTTAACGGTGTCTCGAGAGGCACTATGTAAAACCAGTGGCGGTGGGTGGACCAAGATTTGGGAGGGGCTTAGATTTCTTTCACTTCTTTACCACCAAAAAGCAAGCAATAAGAACAAAACAGTGATCATTTTTCTATACTCACAGCGAGCCACGGCATTCTGAGAACCATTCAAACGACAAGAGTCACCTTTGTCTTCCATCTCTTTGTTTTTAGTTAAATTTAAGCTCTTCTGGATGGTGGGGACGAAGCCGTTTCACCTCCAAATTTCTCTAATTAGTTTTTGTCTGAAGAAAAAGTTGCCTCAAAAGTGGTTTAATGTCATTAACAACGGTTAAATCTCAGCTGCACAAACACACAGCTCTCCAAGCACACATCGTGTATGAATGAGGTGGATTGGGTTGTGTTGTTGCGGAAAATAGAACGCGCATAACAAAGGCCCAATGGGTGCATAGGTATCTGTGTCACTGGGGAAAGTGTGTCGTAAACTTTCACCCCATTGTCAGGGCTGGGAGAGCGTGAGCCCTCTGTGCAGTGTTATTTTTTTAAAGTCTTCTACCTTTTTACAGGAAGAGTTTCATTAAAGACGGGCGTGGGAACTGGCTTATTCTTTCTGAGCCCTAACGACATTTGATTGGCTGTTAGGTTACTATAGTTGTAAGCAGTGACAACAGTGATTGGATAAACGGGCAAGCCGCCAAGCTGATAACTGTGTGTTCATTGTGTGCGATCATGGCGGTTTCAACTGCCTATTTCGTTATTTAAGAAACTTTCATTATCTAAGGGATAGAGTTGGGGTGTGGAGGGGGTGGGGTGAGGGGCTCAAGCCCGTAAGCCCTTGTAAAACCTACACAAATTGCTCACAAGATGAACATTTAAGAGAGTGGACAGTTGTTACTGTCGTCTGTATCCTCCACAACCTAGTAAAGAGTTTGTCCCTGGTAGGGCAACGTAAACATAGAGATAAATTAATATATCTCTTAACTCGTAGTTTATAGGTATGGGTGGGGTAGGTGGGTAGGGAAGCTGGGATTTGGGGGGGGGGGGGGTGGGGGGGGGGGGGGAAAGGAGGGGGGCGGAAATACTGACACGAATGATCAAAAGGTAAAAATACCAGTAAAGGTATCTTGATTTAAATACGTCATGCCGTATAGCACAATGATTACATCAAAGAAATCTATGAGCCAGTCAGTAAAACATCTATTTTAACTCTCTTTCTAAGGCAGGACAAGCCGTGTTAAACAACCCAATTGGGGTAAGCCTATGAGAGAAATTAATTATTAGAATGATAAATAAACAGACTGGTCTCTTGAACACTAATACTTGTAACAACATTATAGTATGATGATGATGATGATGATGATGATGATGATGATGATGATGATGATGATGGTGATGGTGATGATGGTGATGATGATGATGATGATGATGATGATGATGATGATGATGATGATGATGATAATAATCGTAAAGAGCTGAAGAACAACAGCAATAGATAGATAGATAAATAGATAGATAGATAGATAGAGAGATAGATAGATAGATAGATAAATAAATAGATAGATAGATAGAGAGATAGATAGATAGATAGATAGATAGATAGACAGTGTTAGGGACATTGTTACTAATAACAACTTAATAATGATGTAATCGCTTCTGATTGATTACCATAAACAAACAGGCCTGATATGGAGACAATTAAAATAAATGATGTTATTACACTGAATAATGCCCTAATGTGCGTTGGTAGATGTAAGTGTAAGAAGACGTTTGTCTACCTACATCCTTTGATGAGTCAACACAGTTTGACAAGCTTTGGGTCTTTCGTTAAGAGGATCAGAGACAGTATCTGGGATTGAGGGCAGGGGAAATTCTCTCACACGCAAATGTTACATGACCAATATTGTGGGGGATTTGGGACAAGTCGGCGCTGTAAGAAAAACACGTCGCTATTTGATAAGTAGGACAGTTTGTACCAGTCGGAGTCTGCTTTTTTTGTGAATGTTTTGTGTACTATGTAGTATAATATATCTAAGCGCGCGCGTGTGTTTGTTTGTGTGTGTGTGTGTGTGTGTGAGAGAGAGAGA